TCCCAGAGAACGTGTGTTTCTCCTTTATACTCAAAGGTGAATTGCTCGCTCGTCCATTCATATTCGATCCAAGGGTAGAAATCAGGTGAGAGATCGAAGAACCATTTGCAAATTCTAATCGATTCTTCTCTTCCAATCGTATTGCAAATATTAACAAGTCCATATTTTTTAATGATGTTTAAAACGTGTTTGTCCAATAAAAGTAATAGGTTCATTGTTTTATTTTCACGGCAGCTTCGTCTGACATGATCGAAAAATAGATCTCTTGTTCTCTTGACTTCAAATGTCTCCTGAAAGAATCCTGATATTGTTTTATTTATCATTTCTTGATGTTACCGTACACCTTTATCTGATTGTAATAACAGCTCCCCCAGGAATGTGTTCATATACGTGACATGGTTGGTTTCTGACATGAGAATAAATAAACGCAACAAAAGCATGATCAAGTTCTGGTCAAGTTTATTTATTAATAGATTAATATATTCTCGCTTTACAGACTGTAAATAATTGTTTATATATCGATCGCTGTTTTTTAATTTTATTATAAAGTTTCTGAGTGACATATCTCGCTCCTGTTCATTAAGAATATTCCAACGCTCATGGATAGATCTAATCAACATAATTTTGATTGTTGTTTCTTTGACACGTGATATGTTGGGAATAAATTATAATATTCTGACTGGATAGCATGTGTTTAAATCAATCTCTGAAAGGGTTGTACAGTTAATACCAGAAACCTATAAATAGTATCAATTATCATAATTGTTAAATAAGATTGATAAAAACTCATTGGTTAACGATTTCAAAGCTTTCTTTGAGAGTGGTAAGAATACCGATGTTATATTTAAGACAGAACCTAAATTATATGCCCATTCCCAGATATTATATGCACGATCAAAGTATTTTCGTACCCTTTTCTCACCAGAATGGACTTCTCGCGGAGATGAATCACATATTGAGCTCACGGCAAATGTTTCACATTTCGCATTATATAAGATCATTCTTTATATATACACTGGCATTGTAGATCTAAGAGATGTTGACATGAGAACTATCCTTGAAATTTTAACCGAAGGTGATGTTTTTCTCTTAGAGGAGCTTTCTTCTCAAGTAGTACAATACCTATATTCTGATATTAATAGGTTCATAGGAAAAGATATGGTGACGTTGGTTGAATTTATAATTGATCACGATATATTCA